TCCCAGTGTGTCATTGGCAGCTCAATGAGAAATCTTTTGACTTTCAAACTCTACACAGCAGAGTGAGTACAATACTTGGTTATTAGGTCATCATTGTGATACTCTTTTGGCTTTTGTTACCAAGGGCATTGTAGTTGGTATGTTAGGGTTTTTGTTAGGTAATATAAAGGGATAAAGTGGACAGTCAATTTAATTGTGGCGGGGACTTTCTTGATGTAAGAATCGGCAATGAGCTCGGTGGCTATTCACTTTGTTGTTAACAATGGGAAAATCCCTAAAGATTTTTAAAAAAATATTTAAATATCAATGTAAACAACAATGGTCGTGGTTTATTTCATAAAGATCAAATTCAAGTATGTTTCACCAAAGCAGACCTGTTTACCCTCAAACACTTAAAATCGTACAATATCATCACAAAATTGTTCAATACATTATCTTAATAGTAAAAAATAAACATACAGTATATATAATGTATACACTTAATACACCTCAAAATCGTACATTGTACGCCAACAAAATCGTAAGAGTTAACAGGTCTGCCAAAGCTAAATGGCCAAAAAATGTCTTTGTCTTGTTTATTTTCATTGTTAGGTATAGCTTTGCCATAAATGTTACAAAATTAATTTTAATTTTGTGTCTTTTAAATAGAGCTGTTTTATCACTGTAAAACAATCTATAAATTATCTCTTTCATGTATCAATATTTTTATAATCTTGCTTAACAATCAATAGACTTGTGCTTATGACTAGGTCTTAACTAGGTGCAGTATTTTTACACTGGATCCGGGTATTTTGAGAAAGTACCCCGTGGGCCCAAGTGTTACAAAAAAAGAGTTAACTTCTCATTTCTCTATAATTTGCAACGAAATCTACTGCCCTATGTTGTAGTGAGAGTGCATTGCCTTCATCAACCGTTTGTAACCAAGATTTAACCCACTGATAGGAACAGGCAGTTGCCGGATCCTGGAGTAGAGATGACGTTGTACAAAAATCAATGGAGGAGATACTGTCATTCATTTTATAACAGACACTTACAAAACAGTAGCAGTATAACAAAAATGGCAATTTATTTACCAGAGTTCAGAGGTCATGCAGGAAGTTAGCTGTTCTGACAGCCTTTTTTTTTTTTCACTTAGTCCTATTAATAATTAATATAAAAGAGATGGAGTTGGGGGAGGGGTCAGTTTTGAAAAGTAAGCAGGATGCATCAGAAGCAAAATATATATAAGAGATTGCAACATAACTAGTAGCTATGTTCACTAGGCTAAATTTGTTTTTAATACTTAATTTATTCATTGTTTAATGTTCACAGAGGGTCTGAAGAAGTTCCCCATCCAACTAAAGTGTGTCAGTAAGTACAACAATAAAATTAGTGAAGATTGAAATCTATCAAATTGTTAATGAAAGCAACTTCTGATGTCTTTCAACTAAAACTAGTTTAGTTTTCCTAGTGACACACTCTCCAAACCCTTTCTTGTTTCTATTTAATCAACTTGTTCTTCCTTTTTGTTTTTGATTATTATTATTATTTTTTTTCAATTTCTTTACCCATTTTTATTACTTTATATAATATTTATTATAAGTTCTTGGATTCGTCTTAGACTGGACTCAGCCACCTACTTTAAGAACTATGTTTATCTTATTCACCATTTTGATAGTTTCTTGTTTGCATGTTGAGGCTGAGTTCAATAATTTTTTGTCTTTTCTCAAGTTTTCACTTAGTGTCGTCTTCCTTATTTCCCACCTTACAACTTGATTGCAGTCTCCCAATATTATGCCTTACAATGGATATGTTGCAGGTTCACACAGGAAGAGAAAAGCCAGCTGTGGACAGTTAGTGCCAAAGATTGGTTTCCCTGTGAGTTTATTTATCTGCTGCATCACCCCATCTCATGCACAGAATCCAGGTGAGAAACTTGTATGGGTTAATTAATCAGTTAAATAATTTAGATTCTTTTAAATCAAATGAGGAAGAACTAAAATTGGTTATCATTAATTGAGTCCAAATATATAATGCCTTTGGCAATCCTTAAAATATAAAATAGACCAAAGAATAATTTTGGAGCTAACAGTTGTTTGTTTTTAATCTTCTTGCTTGCAAAACCCAAAGTGTTTCGAAAAGTCCTGTGTCAATAAGTCAATAATTTGCATTGTTTTATTTTATTTCTTGTCTGAGTACAAGGATTGTTTTGATAAATTTTATCTCCTTATTTTTATTTATGTCTATCAATTAATAGTGAACTTGAAATAGTAAAGATCAAAGTTGGTGAGCTTGGCGAAATACAAACTGATGAAGAGACTGACAAGTAAGTTAACTCTACACCTTACTTAAAAATTGTGTTTATTATTGTTTTTTTACTTTACTTTGATTTTTTTTTTTTTTTTTTTTAATTCCCTTGAAACTAAAAAGAAATATAACAGTTACTTTTAACTTCTGTACTGAAATCAACCTGGAGTATGCCTGGTCCCACAACTAATGCTGACTTGATAAATTCAAAAACTGACAAAGGATAATTACTTAAAAATTGTGTTTATTATTGTTTTTTTACTTTACTTTGATTTTTTTTTTTTTTTTTTAATTCCCTTGAAACTAAAAAGAAATATCACAGTTACTTTTAACTTCTGTACTGAAATCAACCTGGAGTATGCCTGGTGCCACAACTAATGCTGACTTGATAAATTCAAACACTGACAAAGGATAACATGGCTCATCAACCAACTAAGAAATAGGTCTACACATTAATGGTTCCTCTGCCTTGGCTCATTAATAGGATCCATTGATTTCCAGTTGGTTCTGCAGAATACTGGAACTGCTTAGAGAAACTTACATAATTATATAGGAGAACTTTATCTAGACTGACTCACACATAGGTTATATTATATAGGTATGGACTATAACTACATGGCTTCACAAAAACTGTTTCTCTTGTTTTCTTTTCTATCCATTCTCTTGGTTGCCATTGAATTTATGGTCAACTGGATCTACAATTTATGTCATAGAAAAACTTGTTCTTACTCCAGCATTTGTACTGATACAGGGAGATCGCTGAATAAAAAGATAAATGATATCACTAAAGAACTACACTGCTCCATATTTATGGGTGGTACTTTCACCACAGGAGGTATTTGTCAATCCACAGTGTGGCATCTTTACATCTGTTGCAATCAAATAAAATTACAGACCTTCAACATATTGACCCCAGCATGATGGCTGAGGTTTGCTGACTCTAACACTTTTGTTTGCAGCTTTTTTAAATTTGCTATATAATGTGCCATAATAGCCAGAGCTTTATGTATATGTGCACATGCAAGGGAAATGTACATGTGCACATGTAAGGGAAATGTACTTGTGCAAATATAAGAGAAATGTAAATAATGTGCACATATAAGGGAAATGTACATGTGCACATATAAGGGAAATGTAAATGTGCACATATAAGAAAAATGTACATGTGCACATATAAGAGAAATGTAAATGTGCACATATAAGAGAAATGTACATGTGCACATATAAGGGAAATGTACTTGTGCACATATAAGAGAAATGTACATGTGCTCATTTAATAGATATTTACGAGTGCTTATGTAAGAGAAATGTACTGGGGCACATGTAAGGGAAATGTACATCTGCACATAGAAGAGAAATTTACATGTGCTCATGTAAGAGAAATGTACAGGGGCACATGTAAGGGAAATTTGCGAGAAATGTGCATGTCTTCTTCTATATTTGAGGGCCCATGATAAATGTAATGATTATTCTGGCTCCTATTTATGTAGAGTGGGTTTTGCGGTAATTCTCTGCGTGGTTTTGTAAAGGATACTGGTTGCAAGGGCTACTCAGTAAGGGTAGCAGGAACTGGGGTTTGGAAGAAAGGAGGCTGTAGACACAAATGTTTCAACTGTTGTCACCTCAAATGTGCACAATATAAGAGAAATGTAGATGTGCACATATAATAGAAATGTGCATGGAATAAAGCTTTGCAGGCATGTTCCCTTACCATGAGTTATCACCTGGGTGCAGACTTTAAAATATTTGATGGGTGGATAGGTCAAAATTCCGAGCCGCTTTAGCCTCGTCTAGAATTGATAATTTATGAACAGTGATTTTAACTCAAAAGCTGTTTGACTAACAAAGCTCTGCTGTGTCTAGAATTGATAATTTATGAACAGTGATTTTAACTCAAAAGCTGTTTGACTAACAAAGCTCTGCTGTGTCTAGAATTGATAATTTATGAACAGTGATTTTAACTCAAAAGCTGTTTGACTAACAAAGCTCTGCTGTGTCTAGAATTGATAATTTATGAACAGTGATTTTAACTCAAAAGCTGTTTGACTAACAAAGCTCTGCTGTCTTTGGCAGAGAATAGAGCTTTTTATTCATATAAAATATAGCCACCCAAGTTGACCTAGCATTTTTATAATAATATTTTGGTCTATTGATTTCAGGATTTTAACTTAGCTAGTCTAATGATTTTTATTTGATTGAGATTATTTCAGCCTTAAGATAGTGGTGCAGTACATCACTCCTCAAGTACCAAAACATTACCCCTTCATGTACTGGACCCATGACATTACCTCCCCCCCCCTCCCCATGTACTGGACCCAAATACCAAATTATTGTAATTGATGGACAATATATTAAACATGAGCTTTTTGACCATCATACTGGGGGCCTGGTCTTTAAACTGAGTCACACAGTGAAAGGACTAGGTAATGTTTTATCCTGACACTATCAGCTAACATGGTTGTCCTTTGGTCTACTCGGTGCATTTATTGGTACCTTCATATCTGCTTCTTCATAGTTTGCATTCTTTCCTTCCCTCATCTTTTATTTCCCTCTTCTTTTAATACCATTCTCTCAATTCTCTCATAGTTGTTGCCAGTCTTATGATCTTCTCTCTCCTCCTCTATTATCTCATGATCCTAATTCTTACCTTAAATTAAGCCGTTAGATCATAAACACAAGAGCCAGTTGTTTTTTAAAATCATGGTTTAATTTGTTTCATGATATGACAAAAACACACAGGCAAAGGGGGTAACAGTGTAAATACACAAGGCACAATAATATGCAGGTAGGTCAACAGAAAATAATGGTAATAATAATATATAAAAAAACAAGCATTGACTAGTCAGGTGATCAGTGAATAAAACAAGCTCAGTCAGTGGGTCTCAACATTAAAGCAATTCAGTATTCATGACAAAATAGTTTTCCCTTTCTTTTTTTGGTATGGATAGTAAAAAAAGAGTTGGGTCACACATTCCATTTGGTGGAAAGCCTTGTTGTTAATCTACATTGTCAACATGGGGCATATAACCCAGGATGTGCTCATTACCTAGTTATGGGTTAAAAAGATAAAGGTTTAAGTATAAAATCAAAGGCAAGGGAGTGAAATGTAGCAACCATAGAAGAACAATAACTCTTGTCAGAGAAACTGTGTAAGATTAACAGTGTCACTTCAAGTCTTATTTATAAATGTAATTTATAAAAAAAACAATTTTTTAAGATACTAGAAAATGGGTGATATGTTTGCTGGCTGGTAGATCCTTTTAAGATGCAATCACTGAAGCTATCCTACACTGCCTGTGTGTATTATGCATAAATTTGTCAATGAAAAGGGTTCCTATTCACTGAGTGTCCCCTCAAGGTCTTCTTTTTATCAATGATTTTTTACCTGTGGCAGTCTTTGGCCTTATCTTATGTCTTCCTTATTTATGTTCTGTGAATGAATTGGTCCGGAAAGTCACTAGTGTGTTGAGAGAAAAGTCTGTCTGTGGCAGTCATAAAGTCATGCATTTTCTTTCAATGAAATTGTTACCTGCTTTCATTGGACACAGGTCAAATTAACTTCAGCCTATCGAATATCATGTTTAAAAGCTTCTTCTAAGGTTGCTACAGTTTGGGTTGTTAAAGTTTTAAATAGTGTAGAAATATAATTAAATAGGTCACAGAGAAGGAGTTAATGTACATAATATAAGTTAGCAGGATGTTTAAAAATTGGATGACACAAAGCAGTATATGGAATAAGATATAACCGGGAAACAAAACAAATGTACAGAAAAGCTACAGTAAAGCATTTTGCTGAGAGTAAAACATATTACATTCACTTAAACATATTACATTCAATCAGGAAGAAAGATGCCAATTTCTCTGTGAAGTCTACAAATAAAAGCCATTTAGTTTTTCTAACAGATATTTTCTTTCCCCACGTCACTCCCCCCAAACAACTTGAATCATTCACTGCTATCAATATTTCTCTTTCAAACAACATGAATGAGAATCATGAAAATGATATCACTCATACAAACAAGAGGAATTGATAAGGTTCAGGAAATAAATAACACTGAATAAGAACATGAATATACACAGTATGGAAAAACAAAACAAACCAAAAAACTCAAGGATTTTAGAATGTACCGCATTTGGGTACAAGTTTTAGATGTACCGCAGTTTGGTACAAGCCTTAGAATAGTTTACTATCATAGAAGATGTGCTGAAAAACATGTTACAGCATTAAATACATTGTTCAAAATGTACAGCAGCATGACAGATGACTGAAAATATTTACAGCATTAATGAAATGACAGACCAATCAATAAGTGTTCATTACAAGTGTTCATTACAAGTGTCATCAAAGCTTAAGTGAGCTTACTTCTCTCAACTTTCACACTATCAAAAGCTGCACACTTTACAATCTTACTCTCTCTCTCTGTCTCTCTCTCTCTCTCTCTCACACAGCAGTGTCAACAAGACATTTCTTTTGTTTTCATTGCAGCCTGCAGTTGTACATTCAACAGACACATACTTAACATTATTTTTAGCAAACCATCTCAGTTATACCAGGTATAAAGTGCACAATTTTCTTTGTCAAACCTATTTTTGTGTACAGTTGTAAAAATAACATGGAATGCTGCCTATGAGTTCAAATGGAATAGTTGCCAGAAGACTGAAGAAGCTAATGAAAACATTTTGGTTTTATTCAACAGTTTTATTATGCTATTTATGCTGCTGGAAGTTAAACTCTATAATGTGTTTGCCCATGACATGTGTCTTTTATCAAGTGATGTCAACTGAACATTTTCAACAAAAAAAAAAAAATTGAAAAAAGTTTTTTTTAAGTTTAAAAATCCATTTTGGCTGGAAAAACAAATCAAATGGGAGGTAAATGACATTATTGTAACTGCTATAACCATAGCAACAACAGCAGCAGCATTGCACAGCCCCCAATACTCTCCGCCTCCCCAACCCCTGTTCAGTCATTGAACATTCTCCCTCTCAGTCCCCTCCCAAAAAACATGCAATGATGTCTTGCCTCACCACATCACACAATGCAGACAAGCCTCACCACATCACACAATGCAGACAGGCCTCACCACATCACACCATGCAGACAGGCCTCACCACATACACAATGCAGACAGGCCTCGCCACATCACACAATGCACAGGCCTCACCACATCACACAATGCACAGGCCTCGCCACATCACACATTGCAGACAGAACATAACTGTTACCAAATGCCATTTTTAAGTAACAAAGAAAATATTATTATTCAAAATGATCTGTACAGACTACATGTAATTAGTTCTAGCATCAGATGGCACACGTTTTAATTTGAGACTAACATTACCTATTCAAGTTCACACTTTGGTGTCAAAATTCTAGCACATTTAGATACACTGAGCTTTTTTATTCTTGGTGTTTGAAGTGTCCTACTGCATAAATATTCATGTTCACTGAAGACCTTTGATAGTTTTATAAGATCATGTTGATGTACTGATGGTTTTATAAGATGATGATATCAGATGTACCAGTGGTTTTATAAGATCATGGTGATGTCAGATGTACTTGTGGTTTTATAAGATTGTGGTGTGATGTCAGATGAAAAGTTTTCAAGACAACAGTCACAATAAATGCAGTTCACAACTTGAATCAGTTCCAGGGAGCAGCGAGCTAGTGGTCACTTGATTGTCCAAGTGTGTACATTCAATTATTTACAATATAAACAATGGATTTGGCAGTGACAATGTTCTTGGTTTTTTTGATTTAGGGTCATAGAAAGAAATGTTCACATTATGCTGTATTCCTATCTCTGTAAAGCTGCAATATGGAGTTGGCCTTAGTCTCACAGCTGCCTGCAGTCATTACTTGCCGTAGTTGCTTGCAATCATTTAAAAGGCTGTTCCAGAGCACACTGAAGGAGCATATTCAATGAAACGATTCGTGCCCTTTGGGAATATGACTTGGATGGAGCTGCTTAGGGAAAGACTTGTCAAGTCAGATATTCTTCACCAGGCTGGAAGTTACCAGGGAAAATATTGAAATATGCAAACAATTAAACACATATTTCAAAACATTGGTGGGTTGACATATTTCAGCTTAAACAGCATCAGAATTCTTTCACTGTCAGCAGTCAGTCGGCACATGGGGTCTGCAGTCAGTCGGCACATGGGCAGTTGGTTAATGTAATCAGTTCTGGCCATAGATCTCAAAGCAATCTTTCTCATTGCAGCATTTTACAACTTTGAATGCTGGTTGGTTTGGGCACAAGTCAGGTCTGTTGTTTTTTGGCACAAGGTTCAATATGAGGTTGAGGTAAAGTTAATGTTCAGTTTTAACTGGTCATCTTGGTCTGCTTGTAAAGCTGGAAATACTTTTTGATGAATTTTTTCTCCCAGTGATGCCTGTGTTTGGAACCTGGTCGGGTTGGGGGTAAGATGTCTTCCATCCTTGGGAAGTCTGGTGGTCGTGTGGGTAGAGGTGCTGTGTTGGCACAGTTGGAATCTGAAATGGAAGGATTCAGTGAGTGGGGAACTTACTTGTATCTCATAGAATGTTTGCATATTGTAGTGAAAAGAGTTTTGATTTTTACTACTGAACATTAAAGCTGTTGACTATATCAGTGACCAAAGTCTTACTGCTACAGAAATAAGTCTGTATCTTACCTGGGGATTGCCAGAATTCCACTGTGATGAGATCATGTCCAGTAATCCAATCTCTCGCCTGGTGAAAATGGTTACAGTCCCATAGTGCTACATGACCTTTGGGCATGTTGTGCTGCTTAGTGTATGTAATCACTCGAAGTATGCCTTGCTTACCCCAGAAGTTCTGAAAATCACGTCAATATAACATTTTATTTTGAGCATATTAAAGTTTCAGTGTGTGTGAGTGTTGGCCTATCCAAATGTATTGAACCTATATTACACACAAATCAAACCTGGTCAAACATGCTTGTATGAGATTTTAGAAGTGAGGTTTCGTGCTCACCTTTTCAGTGTCTAGCGGGTCAAACTCGTGAAGTTTCGATACATTTGGGTAGCCGTACTTGTCGGCCAAATAGGGTCCGTATGCGATGGGATGGTAGATGTACTGCAATCCGTCCCGACCACTCACGCTGTCGCGACCGTATTTGGACAATCGGATGAGTTCCTTGCCGAGAGAGTGCTCGCCGGAAATCTTGTTGAGCGTCGCTGACAGGCGGAGAGCGCTGGTGTCGTGCAGGAGAAGGTTGGAGTCGCAGCCGATGACTTCCACCAGTTGGTGGTTGTGAAACGCCCCGCCAAAGTGGGCGTAACCAGGGTAGTTGGCAATTAACTTCTTGAACGATGGAATGGCAATCTGTGGAGGATAGAGTCGTACTTTGAGTTGCCAGCAATGCATGGAAATTATGTAAGGTACGCGTTAAATCACGATGACAAAATATGATGCTGTTTGGTTTATTGTGCATATAGCTCAACTCTTGCTCTACAGACGCGTATACTGTTGCATTTCAGGGCATGTGAACGGTACAAAGTTAAACTATTCTGTGTCTAGTGAGATGTTTTTAAATATACCTGTCATCGCATCGTAGTATGCTACTAATCCGGGATTTAATTATTGGGAGTTACAAAGCGGTCATTGTTTTACGTATGTGGCAGGTAGAAATCTGAACACCGCTCATGGGACTGGTAAAGTGTAGCAGTCTAATCGTACTAAGTCCCCTCGTATCAGACCGATAAACAGAAACCATTTTAATCCCTACCGCCAAGCTGTTGCCATTTCATGTTGCTTTCTCCTTACGACCCACACACAGACAAGACGTTTAACCAAAATGCCATTAATTTGATAGACATAAGTAGTTCAAGCGCGAAGATGGTGGCATAGCGTCTCCCTACGTCTTCGGCCCTTTCCGATGTTAACATCTTTGTTGTGCTTGTTTATTAACCGTGCAAATGGTTTGCAACCAAAAAGAAGAAAAAAGTATACTTATTTGGGTTGGTTAGGAAAACAAACATTTGGAATAATCGTTAATAGGAAACTTATCCAGTGCATTTTGTAGCGATTTGTTGCACATTTAGGATCCCGGTAGTTCTTATTGAGTTAGTATTTGGTAACAGATTGATATGATTTTAGATCTATAGGTAGCCGGGCTTAAAATGTTAAGTTTATTTATATCTGTGATACTTGAAAACGTGTACTGCATACAACTAGCAGACTCCCCACTCCTTCTACTCCAGAACACAAAGCCTTGAAGTGTTGTTCAACATGAAGCTGCTCTGTAACAAATACCGGCTGATATTAAAATTAAACACAGCTGCGTGCCTATTTGTTTCAGTAGCTGTACCGTGACCTTCGCGTTACAGTTCCGTAACTTTGTTACTCACAATTTCCGCGACACGGTAACAGTTTGAAAGCGTGGCCTCAGCGCTTAACCCATTTAACGGCTTCTTTTCTGCCAACATCACGTGATGATAAATGGCGGCATCCGTGGAGTGTTAAATTAGTCCCCATCAGTAACAAGTTGATCATTTTTGGTCAACACCTACAACCACGGTACATACTAATTCATCAACTTGTAACATGTTCACACCAAATGGAACCAAGATTTGATTCTAGCATACAAAGAACAAATAATAGGAATCCAAGCTTCTTTTATTAAAACAAATTTTTTCGTTCGTTTTTTGGTCCAGAATTTATAAAGCCGTTTTATAAAAGGAAAAAAAAAAATGGTTGAGAAGCCTGAACCACTATGGCCCCGCTCTTCTGGCCCCCACTTCGTCTGACCTCCTGAATGTGGCATATCAGTCTTTTGGGGTCGGTCTATTTTTGGACGTGGATTAAGGTATGCATATACGCGGCCTTTACGGCTTGGGTGGTTTGTTGGGAGTATTTATCAGCTCCCCTCCTCCCACCCCCCCAACCGTACGCGTCTTTGTTCATTAACAGTCACGTCAAAGGGAACGTGCCTATGTTCGATTCACTGGCCGTTACACCAACTTTACCCAAGTATATCCACCAACTTTACGCAAGTATATCACAGAGGTCCTGTCATGTTTTAGTGACACCACCCACTGACACGTATTGTGTGGCACGGAGCACACCCGAGTCCTTAGAGCAAACAGAACCTCCACCCCACTCGCGTGCCATCTTTCCTTAACTGTATCAGCTTTTTTTTTTTTTTTAAATAGGTAGCTCTTAACGTGTCGGAACAATGGCAACAAAATATTGCTGCCTGTAGGAAAGCGGATGTGACATGAACGGATACGCGCTATGGCAGTTTAGACATAGATTCATGGTACAGTAAAACCTGGAAATAACGCAAACCCTTTGGGCCGAAGCAAAAGTGGTGTATTAGCAGGTTCAGATGGTTTTTTAAATATTTCCCCGGGTCGAGCTAGCACATATCCAAGGGACATGGCCGTTTTCTCGGTTCGCTTAAGTCTAGGTTTCCCTGCACATTGAATGATTAGTGCGGGAAAGTACGCAAGTCATTATTACTTTGTCAAGTGCTGTCTAAATAGTTTTAATGTTGCGCATGGCAAAAGCAAGTATATGTTGAACCTTTGTTTTGTGCACAGAAGAGACAGCTGGGTATTCTGAGAGCGGAGATTGCACGTCACTGTACACTGATGTCAACGTGGTGAAGGAGAAAGCTGAGAAAGCTAACAGGTTGGGTTTGCTTCTACACGCCTCCCATGTAGCAGTTTATCGAGTTTGTGGAACAACCGATAAGGGCCCAGGTGTAATTAGTTACAGACATGCAACAATCTATCGATAAGGTCCCGCCTATGTTACAGGGGGGGAACAGGAAAGTGAACACTTGACTTTTCTGAGAGTCTTTAGATGGACATAATTAATTACAAAATCATGAACGAAAACGTGGTTTTGAACCCAGCTTTCGTAAAAATAAGGTGAATTTTTGTAGATGAGGATTTTGATGGGTTCATCACCTCCAATGTTATATTTCCCAGATTTCAAAACATTGTTCCCTCCACCCTCTACGGGTTCAGTCGTTGAATATCGTTCGTTATTCTACTGGTATTGGCGTTGACCCTCTACGCGAGACGAAAACATCTTCGTTATTCGTGAATTAAAACGACCAGATGGCGTTTGTGACACACAACAATGTTGAAGTTAGGAGAAGGGTTGGGATCGCGGGGGGTGGGCGTGGTGGGATCCTGTAGCGATGACAGTACCAGCATCACAATGGGGAAACTGACCCCATTTCTGTATGCCCGTCTGCGGGGATCTCTTCTCAAGTTCTTAATCTAATGTCAATATATTGTTTATGGGTAAAGTACCATGATTTGCTTTAGTTTTCAGAGGTGAGAGAGGAAGACAACTAAGAACACTAGGAAAAGCCATTGTTTGAAAACTATGGTAGTGATTGTAAGACTCGGTTAGGGAGGGATCGGTTAGGAAGGGATCGGTTAGGGAGGGATCGGTTATGGATGGATTGCGTGTGAAATATCAATGACAAGGGGGAGGTTTTAAAAAAAAAAATAGATGTATTGTTCCACCACTCGCCTCCGGATTGCCTGGAATCCATTTAATTCTAAAAGTTAAGATTCATTCATGGGTACTTGTAACTTGTATAAACTGAGCAATTGCAACATTACAGTGACCGAGGGAATTCTGTAACTGAAGTCATGCTGACACTTGGGACAAGACAACTTACACTGTCTATACTGTAAACTAAAGGGGGGTTACACCTGAATTAAAAGTAAGACATTTGGTCAGTAATCAACTGCCTGGTAAACCTGTGCCAAATGTAAACAAAATAGCGTTATGTTGCTTACGCCACCTTCCTCTAAAATAAGTACCTCATATAATGTTATGAGGTTAAATTATAAGTTGACATTTTCGCTGTCATTTAACAGAATACAAAGTATACCTTACAAAGTATTACAAAGTAAAGGTATCTATTACTTTTCCCACAGCTTTTCCTCCACATTAATGTTACCATTCAGTGGTCACAATGACTGACATTCGTTGACCCGAGTGCTGACATTCAAGTTACTTTCGCTGTTTAAAGCTTCGCGTGTGCCAGGCCGATACCTAGACTTCCTCTTTTATCCATGTCAGTTTATTCCGTGCCAAGCCTGACGTGTGCCCACAATGTTAAAAGACTGAGGGCTACTTAACTTCATTGTTATTTCTCCTCATATATAAAGTGATATTTGGGTACATCTCTAGGTTATTAACTCCAGCTTTTTTCTAGGCGGCCTTCAGACAATAGAACATCTTCCGTGCACCACTAGAAACGAGCACCTGCTCTCCTCAGGTCTCTCTGACATACCCTGGTTCATGTTTCTTCCATCTACCCACTGCCTACAAGTTAAGGAGACGCGTCCTTTCAAAGTCAACAAATACGCAGATGGTATTTCATTGTAATTAATCCCCGACTATGAACTCCCATCTACTTGACTGAACCCCGAGGTATGAATGACCCATTGTTTTTTTGATCAGGTGCACGCATTTTTGTTCTTCTCTTTTGAGAAAAAAAAAAACTACAACTTGGACCAAGAACTCTCGCGACCTTTTGAAAGGACCAGCATCTATTCAAGGGCAAGGCCGCGGGGTCATCTAGATGTGCAGGCGACATTAACCACACGTTCACGCGGGTCCTGTGCACGGGCGAAAACATCTTATCCCAACGTCTTTGACACGCCCCCCCCCCTCCTTTATAGCCTCCTGGGAAATTGACCCCAAAGAAATGTACCACCAACCCAAAGCTTTCCCCGTTGATGAATGAACAGCCAGCCCAGGTCGCGCCCCACGCAAGAACAATAGACCTCAGACGTACCCGGGTTCAGTGGAATAAAAACCAAATGTAGAAATCATGGATTGGGTGAGATCGCTGTCAGAAAATTGATACAGTTCCTTTGTGAGGCTGCCCCGCGGCGACAAGGGGAGTGCAGGGTCCAAGGACTTACTAAATGATAACTTCCTTTTGTTCAGCTGTTCCGCGATGGGGCGCTGCCTTTAACAATCAGAGATTTATTTTGTGTGCATGGCCCCCAGCTCTTGTCCATATCTAGAAATGAGCTTGAATGTACCTTCTGTCGCTATTGTCCACATTTCCTTAAACCCTCTGCCACGACATCATGGTCTTTGCTTTATTGTTAAGACTACATTTCTCTGTTTACGCCCATCTTGGGGGTATACCGGAAATAGATTTACGTAGACAATGGCTAGTGGAACCTTGAAATTGTAGACATTTACCATTAACTTAGAACCTCGTCGATTCGCAGACGAACAATTTCTTAAGAACGACGAACCCTCCCCCCCCCCCACCCCAAACGGGGTCTTTTTTTACTGGCCACCGTACAGCGCACAAAACTCTTGATATTAATACCCACTCCTATTTCTTGTAGATAATTGAAGCACATCCCACATAATATTATAATGATACAGCGACTGCGGACTATACTGTGCAATAATATTTCTTCACCTCTGATATTCGTAGAACATTACGCCCTGACCTACATCTAAGTCTTTTGGTTTGTTGTATTCGCACCGCCGAATATCCATTGTATTCCAAGCGTCCATGCCAACACCGGTCAAGGTCCGCTGATCCCATATCAACGACTACAGCTCTGTAGTCTCGTGGGAGGGGGGGGGGTGACTAGATTTTGGTCCGATGTTTCTTTTAATTAACCCAATTGATTTTAAATCTCAAATTTTGTTACCATCAAGCATTAAAAGGCGTTTCTCAAGCAAGAGTTGGTTGGGGATAAATAAAACAAAAATAGACCCGTCCCAGGTTAAGCCCCCCCCCCCCACACAAAAAAAAAAAAAAAAAAAAAAAAAAAAAAAAAAAAATAAAAAAAAAAAAAAAAAAAAAAAAAAAAAATTTTAAAACTCAAATTTTGTTACCAACAAGCATTAAAAGGCGGTTCTCAAGCAAGAGTTGGTTGGGGATAAAAAAAACAAAAATAGACCCGTCCCAGGTTAAACCCCCCCCCCCCCATTAAAAAAAATAATGTAAAAAATAAAATAAGTAATACTTAGAAAAAAATAAACAAAACATAAAATAAAATCCAGTCTGGTTAATCCGTGCAGACGTGTCAAGTCCGAAATGAAAAAAAACAAAAAAAACAACTAAACACTACCCATTAACATTCAAACCTTTTCATGGTTATTACGTGTTTCAATTGAAAACATAGGTTTTCACGTATCATTGATAATGCCATAATCGGCATGTTAGCACTGTTGCCTTTAGAACGTGTGCTGTTAAGTGTTGCCGCCTATCCACGCTGTGGCCATAGCAGACTGGATTGTTAGCTACAGCTACTTTGTGCTTGACGACAGCCAGAAATCCCCGACCTCTTAACGGTGCTTTAGTTTTTTTTTGCAAAGCTCCAAATTCAACTTCCCGTTGAAATGCTAGCGGCTGTGTGAATTGACTGCCGGTGTTGTGTATAAATATCCCTCGACGCGTGCCGTGCACCACTATTTAAAACCGAGGTGCAGTTCGCTTTATGTCAGCACATTATTTGTTCAAAATATAGAATACGTCAAGCTGGGTATTTAAACAGACCTTAAAAATAATTTATTTCATTCATGAACACCTCCAATGGCGTTCTCCTGAATACCAGAAAAGATTTCATGATCGGGATTTTTTTTTGTTTTTTTTTTTTTTTTTTTTTTTTTTTTTTTTTAAGACATTCCAATTCTGTTTGTAAGGCTGAATGAATGATTTAAGTTTTTTAAACCTAGTTCTACCCTATCCTAGCAATCTTGGTCTTTCTTGTTGGATTCCGAACCAGCCGAGCCGTCTTCTTGCATACCAGGAATGGATATCTTGCAGTAATGCAGGTGGACTTTTTTTTAAAACTATATATTGACCTACCCGACAAGGACTTCTTGAACTGAAAGTAACAACGCTTGGTGCACACCTACTTTAGCACATAATTAGGTATTAAACATTTTAATAAATACACTGTATTTTATCTAAACGGAATTGTCGCGGTCTTTCTCTGGAACCTGGTGACCGCTTCTCAATCACCGGGTTCTAGCACCAGGTAATCGCTTTTCTAGCATCGGGTAATCGCTTCTCTATCATCGGGTAATCGCTTCTCAATCACCGGGTTCTAGCACCAAGTAATCGCTTTTCTAGCATCGGGTAATCGCTTCTCTATCACCGGGTAATCGCTTCTCTAGTACCGGGTAATCGCTTCTCTAGCACCGGGTAATCGCTTCTCTAGCACCGGGTAATCGCTTCTCTAGCACCGGGTAATCGCTAACACCGGGTGACCGCGTGTGTGCACTCAATAAGCAAGGAAATCTCCCAACAAAGTAGTTCAACTAGATTTGATCCTTACCCCTTCCATTGATCACCCTGACCCTTACAGACTCACAAGCCTCACTCCACGAGGAATGGTCCCTGTTATCTAAAGCTTGCACACTTCTAATGGTACCGTTATCACGCCGAACTTACGAGTATAGATCAAAACATTTGCCCCTGTTAAGTCCTTGTAATGCCACGGAGAGCTTCCCTTCATTCACCAAATGTACAAATCCACGGACACCTCGTTGCTCTAAACAACAATAGACGGCTTTGTCTGCGGTTTTTAGAACAAATCTTGCTTTTGTACCCGATGGACGTCAAGGCAGATAGACCCAACTTTCACTTTGACACATTGTGCAAGTTATGAAACTTTGAATGTAACAGTCGACGTTACAAGAGTGTTCTTGATAAAAGTGAGCACACAAAGTGCAACTTGAGTCAGCTGTCATAGCAACACAAACTGATGGCAATGGGATCATGTGTTACCTTAATCTAACTCATCGTTAACGTTTCGGGTGCTTCACCACTTAATCCACCACTGATTCACCTACGAATGTAGTCAACGGATCTTTGCTTCTACAAACAACAACAACAAAAACTCCCACTAACTCTGTTGACAATTGCCCAGCTGCACCGATGCATGTCAAATCTGATGAACTCTCCTATCATGTGTACTGTTATTTTTAAGATTTTTCACCCTCTTGCTGCCAACAATTTCATCTCCACGTACGTCTCAGACTCCCCCCAAGCGAGCGAGCTGGGTGTCGTATTTAGATTGCATTTCAGCCCGGACTCGATGAAACGAGATCGTTGTGTTTTTTAAATTTTTATTTTTTTTTTATTTCCCTTTGATTCGGTTGTGCGTTCAGATGGAAAGATGCGAATTGATTAAAACATCAGTTCAATGCCGTATGAATTATATACGAAATTGAGTCGACAGATCTCTTTCATATGGGCCTCTGTGAAACATTTGTTGTTTCACGCAACTCTAGGTTACGTTGTGTAAAAATATTACGTTTGATCATATGAATTTTTAACGTGTAGTTTGAGGTCCAGAGCTGATTTTGATCTGGAGTTTATTTTGAAGCATTCATCTGTGCCAACCACACTAAAACCGTTGGGACAGACCCCGTATTTTAGAACCGCTGTGGCCTGCACCGTTGCCTGAGCACATTTGATGGTATTAACTCGCGGCTCAAACACGAATAAAAACCGTCCGACCAAAATGAAAAGCCTCGGACCCAGCAGTTGTGAGGGGACAAGCGGTGCACCCTGCCCCTCCCCGCTCACGTAGCAACAGGCATTGTCCCCTGGGAATGGCAAATTTGAGGCGATTTTTAAGAAAATCCCTGCCATTCACCCGCCACAAGGTCCTGCAACAGGGTGACCCAGATTTTTTTTTTTTTTTTAACCTCTTGGTCCCCTTATTTAAAACGCTGAATCTGGAAGGCCAATACTTTTTGTGTCCCTTGTGAGCATTAAACCAATCTCAGTTATTGTTATGCTTCGCCCGGCCTCGCGTCTTTGTTATATGTTGCTTTCTCTCTCCCCCCCCCTCCCAATAACGTTAGTGAGTGAGTCTTTGTCATTCCAACGTTCACTTGGTAAAAATATTTTTAATAATGCAGTAATAATTCATGGCACATTAGACCCAAGGAAAAAAAAACAAAAAAAAAAGCAACAAAAAATAAAACCAAAACCAAATATAATTAAATTAATTTTAGAAGTTATGAATTACTTTTAGGCATTGCTTGACGGGAGGAAACAAATCTAGAGGCTACCATTGATGCATCTGACTACAGAAGATATTTTGAATGTTTAATGGTAAACATGTTTCGTTTATTATTTTTAAAAAAAAAATATATTTTGTTTTAAATCGTGATGCTTGATAAATTAGGATGTTTAATTTTTTAGATTATGAAATCTACCAACATACACAGAAACATGGACTCGTGTGATGGAAAATAAACATTTAAAAAAATGGTGTGTACGAACGCGAGTATTTTAAGTCCATGTTTATATTTATATGTGTAAGACGCGTGTAGTAAGTAGATGGCCTAGCACACCGGCACATACAACCTGTGGCGTATGTAATTACGGCGTTGGTGTGCAGTCTTGAGGCCGTGCTGATTCAAAAGTATTGCGGAGAAAACAACGCGGGAAGTCCGGGAAAACCCTTCCCCATCTTTCCCCTCTGTTCACTTACTTGATCACTCAAGCATACCGACCGAATACACACAACTCATGCAGATTGTCCTCTGTGCACGCAGTTATCAAGCTTTGATGATAGAGTCATTCAGACATTCAGCCAAACTGATAGTACAGCAGCTTCACAGTTATTACAAACTATTGTAAAGACTGGGCCAACGACTAACGGCCTTCACAACATTGTTTTGAACACATCCTTAAATAGCGCCGCCCCCCCCCCCCAAACCAAACAGTCTCTCGCTGTCTTTAACGTATAATGTACAAGAACATCTGCAAAAGTACAAGGTTGGTTTTGATGATAGAGTCATTCAGACATTCAGCCAAACTGATAGTACAGCAGCTTTACAGTTATTACAAACTATTGTAAAGACTGGGCCAACGACTAACGGCCTTCACAACATTGTTTTGAACACATCCTTAAATAGCGCCGCCCCCCCCCCCAAACCAAACAGTCTCTCGCTGTCTTTAACGTATAATGTACAAGAACATCTGCAAAAGTACAAGGTTGGGCAGTGCAAGTACAACTGTACAAGTAAGCCTATACAAGCGTGACTGCTAATAATGGTCTTCAGTCTCAGTAGGGTGGGGATAAGTTGAAATCAGGTCAGATAATTGTTTAGTCATAATTCCCTTTATTTGGTCATGGTTTGATCCCGTCCCATTAACAACAAGCAATGTATGGATTGGGTACTAGGTCATTGTAACTAGACAGTTCACCCCCCCCCCCCAACCCTCGGAGGTTAACACTGTCACAGTAACAATTGTGCTCGGCCAGTCGACCCAATCAACATAAATGCTCTCTTTCTTTACCCCCAAAAGTATGACGCCAAGCTAAGATACCTATTTTCGATAAACAAAGAAAACTCTGTCCAACATTTCATAATGGAAACAACACCAACAAGTTTTTGGATTAAAACATCAAAAGAAAGGTAAGAGGATATTTATGAGTCTGTGTATTTGATGGTGATGCAAGAGAAGGTGTGAGAGCGTGTATCATTAGGGTATATAAATGAGACTATTTCCCCCCACTGATTTTTCCCAGCCATTTCTCAGAACTTATTGGTCAGATCATTACAACACTATTTTTTTATGGTTTCTCACTGGCCGATTTCTTCAGGCTCGGGGGATGGGAAAAACAAATCCTGCCGATGGCCCCGCTATGTTGTTCTTGTTTTACAAGCCAACCAGTTTTTTCCTAGTCAAACGACAATTTGGCATTAACTCTGGCCACCGTTGAAAGGGTTTTTGTTGACTTTCAGCATAGCCTGGTTAGTCTTTGTTGTTTTGACTTGGTTGCCCACTGGATTTGCAATGTAAACAAGAACACATCAAGTTCATGCTGCCTTTCCAACACCCAAACATAGTCCCTTTCTTACACCCAAACATAGTCCCTTTCTTACACTCAAATCATACTGCCACAAGCTATAAGTTCATACCGCCTTTCCAACACCCAAACATAGTCCCTTTCCAACACCCAAACATAGTCCCTTTCTTACACCCAAATCATACTGCCACAAGCTATAAGTTCATACCGCCTTTCCAACACCCAAACATAGTCCCTTTCCAACACCCAAACATAGTCACTTTCTTACACCCAAACATAGTCCCTTTCTTACACTCAAACATAGTCCATTTCTTATACCCAAACATAGTCCCTTTCTTATACCAAAATATAATTCCTTTCCAACACCATAGTCCATTTCAAACTCAAACACAGTTTTTTTCCAACTCCTTAATATAGTCCCTTGTCAAAACCTAAACATAGTCCCTTTCAAAGTCTCCAACACATTTCTTTTCCAACACCCAAACATAGTCCCTTTCTAACACACAAACATAGTCCCTTTCCAACTCCAAAACATAGTTCTTTTCCAACTCCAAAATAGTTCTATAGTCAATTTCAAACTCCCAAACATAGTTATTGTCCAACTTCCTTATATAGTCAGCTTCCAAATCCCTAAGACATTTACATTTCCTTTCAAAACCCGAAGCATAGTCCTACCACCGCCACAAGTAAAGCCCAATACATATCCACAACTCTTCTGACGAGAGCAAGGAGATGAAAAAATTTGCAACAATGACAATGGGCAATAGGTGCAATAGCTAGGTTTTAAAGATGTTAAGCTAATAGTCTAGGTATAAATTGGACAACTAAGAATTTAGCCACAGGTAAGACTTTAGCCGCAACTAAGAATTTAAACACAGGTAAGAATTTGAATTTAGCACAGGTAAGAATTTAGCCACAAGTAAGACATTCATGTTTGTGCTCACCTGTTCTCCTCTTGTTACTGCACATTTCGTAAGTATAACACACAATGTGACTAGGACCTTCATAACTGGCGATGTCACCAAAGTTCTGGCACTGACCGACAACTTTTGGACACAGCTGTTCATGTTGATGTTTACGGCTGGACAGCTGTCGAGTTTGATCAGAGCTCCACACAACTGTTATGTATTTATGTCAGCGCCCTATCCACGGTAATCCAATCTGGAAGTCAATCGTTAGTCATTTGATTTGTTTCTATTCAATAACGTACCGAGCAACTGGCGACCATTCAGCTGCAGACTAAACGAAGGCTTGGCTACCAGTGTTCAGGTACTGCGTCTCTCAAATCGGGCTAAAACTACGTGAAAAACGCCCCACGCCTTGTATCTGCTAGCTCTGCTTAGTTAGAAGTAGACTGATTGATGAGGATATTTCGTTTAGCCTAGTCAACGCGTCTGACACATCGGTTATCTGGGAAGGCTTAACGACCGCGTTTCTTCTTATCTACAAATATCCTGTAGCACAAGGTTAACACCAACACCGGCAACGCTATAGTCGCTCCAGGTTTTGAAACACTAACATTCAAACTTACTGAACGGCCCGCGTTAAACCCTTGTCATCAGATGGAGGTAGCTACACATTGCAATTTTTACAAATTCCGTACAACCCCAGCCTTCATTCAATTGAACTACGAACAAGACATTCTGCTGCAGAGTTAAGTCGTGTGCAACACAGCGGTCCAGGCGGTGAACTGAATGTCTACCACAACAGCTGAAGTTTCCCCGCGAACTATGCAGACAGTGTACTGTTATCAGTGAAGGAGAGAGAGAGAGAAAAAAAACAACTATATATTGCCACTCATTCGGACAACGTCAGTTGGTCTCCACGAAAAATTGTACCGTGGTTGACTGCTGAATGATACCAGCTACCGGGCCTCCTCAGCCCTTATACCGGGATCAGGACACCTCCCTCCATTCTCCCGTCCCCCTAACCCCCTTACCCCCCCCTCTCCCCCTGTGTCTACGGGCGGGTAGCTGCGTGCGCCTCCGTGTCGCGAGCAGGACGAGGCCGCCACGATGCCGATACGTTGGGAAGTTGACAGCCACAGAAATAAGTTTAAGTCACGAATCCGAGATACACCAGGTTGGGGGGGGGGGGTTCTATACCTGTAAACTGCTTTTCTTATATACATGTTCTACGGCTGTAATATTAATTTTTTTTAGGTATGAGATCAGGTCACGAGATGTAGGTCAACATTACATATTTACGTCTGTCCTCTCCACAGCCGTGCGTTAAGATTAACAACAACATGACAGTTGTCCTGTAACCAGTTGGCTTGCGTTGGAGGATTAAAGTAATGTCGTATACTATAATCCATTAAATCTCTGTCCTGTTGTGTCCACTTTGTTAAACAGTGCATTACGGTACATACGACTTGACCAATGTCTTAATTACACAAATGTTCGGGGCTGTATAAGTTGTCTGCTTTATTTAGTGGTTTTATTACAGTGTAAATAAAGCAGTCATTTCTGAGTTTCTGTTTAATTGATGTTAACAGTGATTATAGCATGCGCTGTTCTGTCTCAAGAGAAATGCACACTGGAGCGTTTCCTGCAGAACCCCACAAGCGTAACCGGAAGTTTGATCGAAAGAAATTTCGTCGACGATAAAATAATCGACGGTAATTTGATCGAACGGAAATTTGGTCGAATCTTTTTTTAAGTGAACACGTTAAAATGTTCGTCAAATTTATTTTTGAACGCATTATTTTGATTTTGTTTTACTATATGGTATAATGCGTTCAAAACTAAATTTGACGAACATTTTAACGTGTTAACTTAAAAAAGATTCGACCAAATTTCCGTTCGATCAAATTTCCGTCCATCAATTTACCGTCGACGAAATTTCTTTCGATCAAATTTCCGGTAACCCCTCACAAGTCTAGGGCCCCGTTGTACCACGTGGAGCCTCACGCTACCATGAGGTACCTGGTCCTACCATACGGGGCACCATGATAACATGCCCCTGACAGTCTGACACACACATTGGATTATCCATCTTGTGTGTGCAAATACTGACTCACTAGAAGAGCTTTGCCTTTTAATAAACAGGATGTGCAGATAACGTGAAGATGGGTTTGATGGAGCGGCATCTACATATTAAAATAAAAACAAATTTTATTCTTTTTTTTTTAATATATTTTTCAGAAAGTTTATAATTAACGTTACAAATTAAATGCTGTTTCGGTTATATAAAGAATTTCGCAAAGTACAGCATGTATTTCAATTTTAAAAAAAAAATTGAGTATAAATTTTTTTTTTTTTTAAAAAGGTGGCATATTTGGGTTACTGGTCATACGAATCCATTGTCAGTGATGTGGCTTGCCGCTCAGTTGATAATATGGCATGTGGTCTAAACCACATCTCCCAATGAATTCTACTGTTGATCAAGTTGTATTTTAATGTAGAGACGAATGTCTTCTCACTATCTAACGAGGCGGTGGTGGTGGTCAGTGCCGTGTGGGAGATGGGGGTGGTGGTCGTTGACCTAGCTGGCATGGTCAGAGACAATTACCATATGTCAGAGTGGTCAAAGGACGAGATTGCGGCAAAGTGCTGCTGGACATAGTGATAGGGATCGATAAGACGGTGTTGACCTGATATCTTAAGCTGGGACCCATTGCGGTATTGATGGGTCACGTAGGTCATTCCTCACAGTCATCCTTAGTTTCTAACAAATCAATACCTTGTATATAAATGAACAGATGCGATACATAGGTTTTAATGGTTGCGTTCCCACCGCCTGTCTAGTAAATACGTAGAAATAATCAAACCATTAACTTACGAACATTTTTTTTTGCTAGTGTTAGTGTCCGCAATCGACCCAGTAGTATAACTAGGATAAGTGCCACCCGAGTGTCCGCCATCGACCCACTGGTGTAACTAGGATAAGTGCCACTCGAGTATCCGCCATCGACCCAGTGGTGTAACTAGGATAAGTGCCACCCGAGTGTCCGCCATCGACCCACTGGTGTAACTAGGATAAGTGCCACCCGAGTGTCCGCCATCGACCCAGTGGTGTAACTAGGATAAGTGCCACCCGAGTGTCCGCCATCGACCCAATGGTGTAACTAGGATAAGTGCCACTCAAGTATCCGCCATCGACCCAGTGGTGTAACTAGGATAAGTGCCACTCGAGCAGCCGCCATCGACCCGGTGGTGTAACTAGGATAAGTGCCACTCGAGTGTCCGCCATCGACCCAGTGGTGTAACTAGGATAAGTGCCACCGAGTGTCCGCCATCGACCCAGTGGTGTAACTAGGATAAGTGCCACCCGAGTATCCGCCATCGACCCAGTGGTGTAACTAGGATAAGTGCCACCCGAGTATCCGCCATCGACCCAGTGGTGTAACTAGGATAAGTGCCACTCGAGTATCCGCCATCGACCCAGTGGTGTAACTAGGATAAGTGCCACTCGAGTGTCCGCCATCGATCCAGTGGTGTAACTAGGATAAGTGCCACTCGAGTGTCCGCCATCGATCCAGTGGTGTAACAAGGATAAGTGCCACTCGAGTATCCGCCATCGATCCAGTGGTGTAACTAGGATAAGTGCCACCCGAGTTTCCGCCATCGAGGCAGTGGTGTAATTAGGATAAGTGCCACCCGGGGCGGTTCGCCATTTTTTTCTACCCATTCCACACACACAAAAACCGCTCAGCAGTAAGCTGAAAAAGCCGCCCATCCATGTATAGAAAAAAAATGCAGCCAGGGGCGGACCGCCCCCTCCGCACACCATTGCTACGCCACTGCATAGACGCATTGAGATGTGCAGTCGGCACATAGCGGTAGGTTCGGATCTCCACTTCCTGGAGGCAGTTGGCAGGATCAGAAGAGATACACACTGACCATCCGGTGCACTGCCCATGGGTTCAATAAACCAAAGCGAACCCCCCGCCCGCCTCATCTAATCCATCCATCAAGTTTCATAACATTAAATTATCATTTGTAGCATGGCTACAGTTAATACATGTTTTATTACCTTTTTTTGTCAATCACTTGAGTTATTGTATCTACTGTGACGCCCACCCATCCCCACCCCCAAACCGAAATAAAAGAAAGAAAAAAAAATATATTTCCTTTAAGTTTTGTCCACTATGATATTCCTGTCGTTTGGCCGTGTATTATTGGTAGAACACTATTAGACGACATTATGTAAAAATTCCAGAAACGTTAAATCTCATTGTAAATAGTCGTATGTTCCTGATCATCCAGGTTGTTACTGATCTCCCGCGGTGGGTTTTTTGTTCCCGCGTAGACCCGTAGAGGGGCGGTAACTTTGACTGAATATCGTGTGCCTCCTCTCAGGTGAATCGCTGAGGTTGTTAGAATCTCCCCTGTCCCCCAGGCTCTCCATCCGTTTATGAGACATCACGGTTAGCTTGAAGATCCTCCATATTTATCTGTTCCCACTGTGGTCCTTTGGTGCATTGTCACCTGTAAGGTGTGGCCTCAGTTTGGCAATCTCGTATCGTCCCAACTTTTTAAAAATCTTTCTCTGACTCATCTCTCTCTTCGCCCCCTCCCTCTCTCTCTCCCTCTCTCTCTCTCTCTCTGCCCCCCTTTCTCTCCCTCTCTCTCTCTCTCTCTCTGCCCCCCTTTCTCTCCCTCTCTCGCGCTCTGTCTCTCTATCTTTCTATGCCACTCTCTCAGCCACCCACTCCTCTCACACATTTCCAAACCAGCCAGTGGCCCTAACCACCATTTCGCTGTTGTTTGCTTTGTCACTTCACCGAATAGAAACATAGACCCGGTCCAAAGTATGGAGGACCCGGCTAGCAGATTTATACCAGTGTTAGTGTTCATCCGGTTACTTTCTGGGACAGAATGGTCAATCTGTTTCCCGTAACAGTATGTGCTGCCGACACCTATCAATATTATAGATGTGGTGGAGTATGCACCATGGTCAGCTTTAAGCACAACGTAAGAGAACGACGGTTTTAAAAATTTAAAGCAACAATGCAACAATAAACCAACAAATAGTGTGGCGCCGGTAGTAGCCGGTCATAATGACCTAGAGAATTTGTCAGTCGAAGAGATGCTAATAGCGACCGTAAAATGTTGTTTCATACCTCCTTTACATAAATGATGTATACCCAAGAGTGCAGTTTGAGATGTCTCACTATCAGGCGCAACTTATTTTTTAGGATGGGTTGCCGTCGCTGTCATTTGTCATTGTCTGTCAGCTGACTCAAAAGTTAAGTATATACCAAACTGGATGTCGTCACTCGACTAAATGCTTTGATTTTAAAATATATAAATCTAGATCTATTAAAGACGTGTTGATGCGAGTATTTTGTGTCTTGATTCAAGGGTTCTCTAACTGTATACATATACCATTCGTGGTAACCAAGTTAAGCTAATCATTGATAATTACGAAACATTACCATTGGTCTGCCAACCCCCCCCCCCTGCTCTGTAATGCACCCTTGGCCTATTAGGACTTGGCACTTTAGGGGACTTGTCACTTTATGGAACTTGGAACTTTAGTGGGGGGCTTGGCACTTTAGGGGACTTGCAGTTAACAAATGACGAGATCAAATAAAGAAGGAATGCAGCGTCATGTCGTAAAGACAATTAGACCGCTTCATCTTGGCTTAAGAGCATTAATGTTCCTCGCTGAAGCTTAGCATATCAGCATTACTGCCTTTTGCTAAGGCTTATCTTCGTAGCATTACTGCCCCCAGATTCAGCTTAGTGTATCAGCATCACTGACCCAAGCTGCAGCTTAGTTTCGTAACATTAATGCCCCTAGATGCAGCTTAGCATATCAGCATTACTGCCCGTAGCTGCAGCTTAGCTTCGTTGCATCAATGTCCCTAGCTGAAGCTTAGCATATCAGCATAACTGCCTTTTAGCTGAAGCTTAGCTTCGTGGCTATACTGCCC